CTCCTCAGGGCTCGTGCAGGAGGCAACCAATCCATGTCTCTCTATCTATGTTTCTGTCCTTCCCTCTCTCTTCCACTCTCTGTAAAAACCAGTGGAAAAATATTCTCGGGTGAGGATTAAAAAAAGTAAAACAAAAGGTTCAAGTTCAATGTAAGTCCGTTTTGAGCCAGTGAGGGGAAGGACAGCCAAGCAGCGGAAGCCCGCATCTGCGAGTGGAAAGGTCGCCCATGGAAAGGAGTGGGTGCCCCCACCAGGTGCGCCCCGGGAGAGGTCGGCCCCAGCTGGAGAGCCCGCTACCGAGGGAGGGTTTGGACTGGGGACCTGCCGCCGATTTTCTAAATTCCTGCTCTGTGTCAGGGCCTGTGCTGCGAGCTCCACACCCCGTTTCTCACTTAGTCACCCCAAACACCGGGGCGGATCCTGCTGTTCCCCTTCCACGGACGCGCGTCCCGGGACCAGAGAGGTGGAGGGCCTTAGCCACGGCCCCACAGCGGGTCAGGGGCAGAGACGAGACTTGGGCTTAGACCTGACGAGGCCCTGAGCCCGCGCTGCCGCCCGTGAGCACCCCGCTTGTCCTCTCCGCAGGTGCTACACGAACCCCTGATTGACGAGGACCCCGTGTTCATCGCCACGTGCACGGAGCGGGAGCTGCGCAAGAGGAAGAAGCGGAAGTTCAGTCTGTGGGTCAGGCAGTGCTCGGCCACCGGCTTCATCGTGCAGGTGAGCCCTGCGCGGGGCCACGGCTCGCGTGGGCAGCCCTGCCCGCCGAGGCCGGGGCCGGTGCTGCCTCCACGCTGAGCACTGGGGTGGCCGGCACTGTCCCCGGCATGTTCTTCCCACCCCGTCAGCCCCTCTGGTTAAACTGATCAAGGCTCAGGCCCCACCCAGCCGACGTGGCTCAGTGGTTGAGTGCCCACCTATGAACAGGAGGTCACGGCACATGCCCAGATTGTGGGCTCCATCCCCAGTGTGGGGCATGCAGGCCGGTCCATGATTCTCTCTCATCATTGATGTTTGCATCTCTCTCTCCAGCTCCCTCCCTCTCTGAAATCAATAAAAATACTTTTTTAAAAAGCGATAATTAGGTTAAAGTGAAGTCATTAGGGACGGAAGCCGCACTGTGGGCTCAGTGGCCCGTGTTTCCCTGACAGATCTACGTCCACCTGAAGGAGGGCGCGGGCCCCGACGGGCTGGACGCGCTGAAGAACAAGCCGCAGCTGCACGGCGCGGTGGCCCGGAACCTGTGCCGCAACGCGGCCGGCAAGAACTACATCGTCTTCACGGGGCCCAGCATCACCAGCCTGGCGCTGTTCGAGGAGTTCGAAAAGCAAGGTTTGTCGCGTGGCAAGCGGCGTGAGCCTGGCCCTGCCCGGAAAGTGGTGCTGGGAGAGGTTGGGGTGGAGAGGCGTCCGCACAGCCCGTGCGAGGAGGCCTTTCCCGGGAGCAGATCACTGCAGCCCCGGCCGGGACCTGCTGGGCACCGGAGCTGAGGCCCTGTCCCGGCTCCGGTCTGGGGACAGGTCAGCACATAGCCCCGCCCATAGGCCATGGCCACTGAAGGAGCCAGAGTGTGTAGTCCATTCGCTGCTGTCACAAAAGCCCCAGAGCGGCGGCTTACAAACCACATGGTACACACACACACCACCTACGTGCACTCACACCCGCCTGTATACACACACACCACCTACGTGCACTCACACCCGCCTGTACACACACACACCACCTACGTGCACTCACACCCGCCTGTATACACACACACCACCTACGTGCACTCACACCCGCCTGTACACACACACACCACCTACGTGCACTCACACCCGCCTGTATACACACACACCACCTACGTGCACTCACACCCGCCTGTACACACACACACCACCTACGTGCACTCACACCCGCCTGTATACACACACACCACCTACGTGCACTCACACCCGCCTGTACACACACACACCACCTACGTGCACTCACACCCGCCTGTATACACACACACCACCTACGTGCACTCACACCCGCCTGTACACACACACACCACCTACGTGCACTCACACCCGCCTGTATACACACACACCACCTACGTGCACTCACACCCGCCTGTACACACACACACCACCTACGTGCACTCACACCCGCCTGTATACACACACACCACCTACGTGCACTCACACCCGCCTGTACACACACACACCACCTACGTGCACTCACACCCGCCTGTATACACACACACCACCTACGTGCACTCACACCCGCCTGTACACACACACACCACCTACGTGCACTCACACCCGCCTGTATACACACACACCACCTACGTGCACTCACACCCGCCTGTACACACACACACCACCTACGTGCACTCACACCCGCCTGTATACACACACACCGCCTACATGCACTCACACCCGCCTGTACACACACACACCACCTACGTGCACTCACACCCGCCTGTACACACACACCACCTACGTGCACCCACACCTGCATATATACATTTCTCCCACGCACGTGCCTCAGACAGGCAGTCCAATGAGTAGCCTGTCCTGTCTCGAGCCTTCTGGGGCTGGAGAGCCGCCAGGATGGGGGAGCTACCAGGGCTAGAGAGCCGCCGGCGCTGGGGAGCCAGGGGACTGATGCCTGGGCCTGTGTCCC